TGTCGTTTGTTGTGGTACATACTGTGGCTTTGGTGGACAAATAGACAGATAATCTTATTCAAATTTAAATACCTTGTTTATCTCAGTATATACCATGCTAAGATAAACAGGGCCTGTGATGTTGTATATTAAGTTGCTAACACTGGTGGTTCATATTTATGGACGTGATGTAAACAGAACACATCTATCTTCAAATGTTTCATTTGCATTGTTCTCCACTGATATAATTCTTCTGAGCTCAGTTTTCATGTTAATTAGATTTTTTAAATTATATTTGAATTATAATAATATTAAATATATAAATGACGAGTTTTACAATTATTCATTGATTTATTTGTGTCACCCTGCAAATGTAGCCATAAATGCAAAATCATAACCCAACTATAATTAGAGCTGTTAATGTGCATTTGCTCCATGTGACACCTGGCACCACATACTGACGCACATGAAATAAATAAGCAGGTATACAGGATGTGAATCATCTGTTTGCTATTATTAGGCAGAAGATGATTGGATTTGCATAATGACGTAACTACGTTCTAGGTAAACATGGGCAGTGGAAGCTGACAACAGTCAGAAAGGTCAGCGATTACACCAGGCTTGACGTGATTACAGCAAGAACTCTGACTTTACATCCGAGGACACTTTTCAAATGAAGTGTTCTCAAAATAAAACCTGTTTGAATAATTCTCAAAGAAAAGAAAAAAAGGGCTAAAGCCTAAAATCTGTGATATATACAATTTCTTTTGCAGGTGATCCAAGCAAAACCTTGACAATAAATGTTTTTCAGATCTGTATGACTTCTGAGGGACAATCCTGACAGAGTAATGACGGAGGGATTCGTGGAAACAAATGTCAGACTACGATGTCCTCTGTTCCAACAGTAGCTGCTAAGTGCATTGTGACCTTGATGGGCGGCTTTCTGACAATCCCGTCATATGTCACGCAGATTAGTCTTAAACATTTTAGACTTGGTGCTAAATGGTTCACACATAAGGCAGAGACATGATTTTGCATGAACGAGGACTGCAGGATTTCCCCCGGTTTAATCTGATGCAGGAGAAAAGCTGTTGGGATAATGATTGCAGTGCAAACAATGTGAGGATTGGTGAGGCCCTGCAGCTTGTGTTGAATAGTATGTGTTATACAAGAGAGTGTAACATGTATGACACCACAGGGCAATGGATGCATAAACTTTATGCCCATTTGACCAGAACATTTTTTTGATTTTTGTTGATTTGCCATTGCAGTGTTTCGCCATTAGCAAGAAAGCGAAATAAGTGATTAGCGAACTTGAATGATTAAAAAAAGGAATTTGACCCAAATAAAATTTGTGTCATGATACAGTAGAGGTAGCTCCATATATAAAAGTTAAGTGTGTCACATACAGTCTTTAGATGTGATTATTAGAAAAAGTGAAAGCCCAAAAAAGACACATTCAGTGTAAGGAAAAGACAGAACGAATAAAAAAAAATAAAATAAAGAAATTAATATTTAAATGTGTGTGTGTGTGAGGCCTCATACTGACATCATCACCATACACCACCACTACCAAAGCACCATTACTAGGTTTGCAAGATACGCTCTCACATCTTACAACAGTTGTAAAAAATATCAGAGCAGCAAAGCTAGTGTACACAGGGACATTTGCATGTCATTGTTGACGTAATGGACTACAAGGGTGACCAAAAAAAAACAGGTGCTTATGGTGGAACCGGTTAGTCCAATCTGCCACGGCACAGGGCCATGTTTCCATTTAAAAGGCGTTGCCTACATCAGAAGAAGGCTCAGGGTTTGTGATAAACAAACACATTTCTTAGCCCTTGGCAAAAAATGTTCCAACTGTCAGATGGAAATCTTAGACTCAGGACAAGAACATATACCTTTTAGAGTACAAGACATTCGTAAACCAAACTTCAAACACTATCAAAATGGAATTAACAAATAGCAACGTTTTGGTTTTATAAACAACAGGTCTGCAAACATAACTGAAAACCACTGTAACCTCTCATTTGAAGTTTCATATTTCACGTGTAATGTGACCTTAACCGTAGCCTATAAATTAACTGCACAAACAAATAAGTCATGTTAATTTCACTATGTGCAAACAAAGCATTTTACCATGCCAAACAAGTTCCTGTGCCAGGATGATGACTGTGTGCTGCCATTGTTGTCTGACTGTAGTTGTTGTTATTCAACAACATCATGGGGAAGTTAATGTAGTTACTGACAGAACTGGTTTAAAGACAAAACCTTCTACGTGGAATCCTGACTTTGTTTGCACCCAGCTCTGACTCTAGGGGAGGGAGTGAACAGCTGATGCTGTGACAGCTGTTGAATGGCCATAAGCCACTGGTCATCCCAGCCCATGATTGCTGCCTGTGTTCACGGGTGTGGACAACAGGGAATGTTTTGTTTCGAATGAACTGGACTTGTCGGGTCATCTGGGAGACATTTGCTCTTGGGCAACTTTGTAGGACAAGGTTTCTGGGAGTAATGGCCTATATTTTAAGTATATGACATTAATTTGAATTAGCCAACTGCAATGCATCTGTGAATAGATAAAATGCATTCACATACAGTATAAAAATGTTATACAATGAGCGTTTGGTGCATTAATGCAGGACTGAAGCTTTAATAACAAGAGAATATTGCTCCTTTATTGGTGCACACAAATTAGAACAGAGTCATTTAAATTTGAACATAAACCCTGGCAGGTAAAATTTTATGTTCCCAAGTCCCCACTTGGCTGGGGATAATGGCCCCATAAAAAAAAAATTACACTTAAAATCTCAAGTCCAATTTTTATCGTCAATCAACTCCATTGCAATGTAAGCACCTGTCCACTCCTGGGACATTTATTTTTTGCTAAAAGGCTGAAGATAATCCTAGCACCGCATCACATCGGAATATTCCCCAACATCATTGATGGCACAGCAGATAGATTAGAAATTAATCAATTTGCTTTTATTAGCTACTGAATGGTTTATACCTCCCACCGGTTCACATGCAAATCTTACTGTAAAACAAAAATCATCATTATGTGATTTATTTTAAAAACTCCTAAAATAAGAAGTGCATTATGCAAAAAATACCCTAATTATTAAAATAGATTAAAAATGAGCTTTTCTAGACTGGTATACATGTATAATAAAGTGTCATTTTGGTGACAACAACTTAATGGGAATGTATTAAGACAGAAGGAAAAACAACACATGACATAAACAGGGTTGCAGTAGTAGACAAACAGTCCATTGTTACTTGATTGTTCCTCCCAAAAACTCTGAAGGTTCATCAGATCTCCCTGCAGTCCCATGACACAAATCACGCAGCTCATCACCACAGGCACTGAGCTGTTTTTCTCTCTAAGCTCTCTCCATCTCCCCAGAGTTTTCTCTCCAATAACATTAGAGAACAGCATATGAACTCCAGAAAACAGAACTTCCTGGAGTTGGTGAATATTAGGCTCAATACACTAAAAAGGAGAAGAAAAAAAAACAGTTCTCTTTTAAAGCACTTTTTGTTTGACCCTACATGTAGGAAAAAACTAATTAGATTTCCAATGGTTGACCATGTTCGTGTCATTGCAGCAAATTGGAAATGGGATTAAAAGAAATTTGGTACTAATTGAAAAAACAATTCCCAAAGGACACAGAGGTGGAGTCAATGGACTCGTTTTCAGGTGGGTGTAAAATGCAGGTCTCCCTAGTGTAGAAAGAAGCTAAAAATGCTTCAATTCCCCAAGCAGTGCAAGACCTAAAAATTGCAGTGAACAAAGATGAAGCCACAACACAATATTGTTGTCATGCAAAGGGATGACAATTCAATCATAACTGTAAACTAACCAATAATAAAGTTGATGTTCACTGTAGGATGAAAACCAAAAATGGTTTTCTTGTTGTCACTGACAATATTTTGCTTTCTTCACCTGTTGCTGACAAAACCAACATGCAGTATTCAGACTGTTTCTTGACTTTTTGGCAGCTTTGTAGGGAATTTTATAAAAATGCAGTTGTTTTGGCCAGAGAGAAAAATTCTGAAGTTAAGAATTTTTCATTTGTTAATGTCATCCTTGCAGTTAGTCTCTGTCATTGTCCAGCTGTCTGGAATGGGAATGTAGGAATCTCTGGGTGCCTCACAAATAGAATGGATTACGATTGTGTAGCCAATAATCAAAATAATAAAATGATTAATAAATGATTGTGGCAATACATAAATAACAACAATGCATTTCATTTCCCTAATGTCATCATCTTGGTGT